TCCGAGCAAAATATCTCGTTCGCCGAGTAACTACCGGTTCGACGTGATTGATTAATCGATCGGTACAATAGAGTCCCGTTCCGTTAGAATACACGTTGAAACCTATCAAATATTTCTTACGAGACCGAGCGTATTTACTAGCTGCGACGCGGTGTATTCGAGGTAGTCAAAACAATCTTAAGAATTGATCGAACAACGCGTGGAATGTTTAATAGGGATCGAGGAGTCGTTTGGGGAAACGCGAAACGTTACCCGGGGGAATTAGCATAACAGGATTCCTCGGTGCACGTAATGCGGCGACCCCGCGGATTTGCATGGTCCATTTAAATACAATTTCTTTTGCCCCGATCAAGAAATTACGTGAATACGTGAGCGGAACCACCCCTCGTCCGGGCGAGCCACCCGCCGCCCCATCGGTAGATGTGTTGCCGCGACGGCAACGTCGAGGCGGATTAAAGGGGCTCGCGTTAAAGCCGGTCTCTCTTCAAGAAAAACCTGACGATTCCCTCGACCGTTCCGCTTTACGTTCTTCTTTTTATCCTCCTGCCAACCGTCCCTTCCCCTCCCACTCTGTGCTCCGCGTCCTGCGTCCCATGCTAATTAATTCTGCTTGTATATTAATCGCGCTGCCTTTCACGAGTCGGTCGCTCGGTACACGGCGGACTCAGCCAGTCAACCTCGTTTCCTTTTCTGCTTCTGTTTTCGTAAGAGGGCCAATTTATGCGACGGAAAGAGTTGCTCGTTGTTAGAGCGGTCCTTTGTCACAGCAAGGAATTTTAATTAATGCCGGAATTACTGTTACCGCTGTTCATTTCCGAGAGATTGATTCGTTCTTATCGCCAGATCCAATTAAACAGTTTTTTGCTTAGGTACAATTCTTCAGTTTCACTCGGACAGATAAAATACGATGCTCAGCATTAGAATTCGGAGTGACAACATAGAATCATTATTAGTCAAACGATGTATTATAGTTATATTAGAATTCATGACAATTTCGGTCATTCTAATGCCACGGCATTTAGGCGATGCAGGATCAAGAGATGGCAGTTCTTCTTAGGTCAGCGCGATTCCGCGGGGAGCAACGTGCCAAAAAGTATGCAAAGCTCGACGATGGTTCGCGGTCAGGCAGAGAACGGCGAGAAGACGCGACGTCGCCGTTGCTCTCTCGCTCTTCCCTCGAATTCCCACGGTAAGCGCCAGATAAATGAAGGCTGAATTAGTGCACCGCTAAATGGTAGCGTCGGTTCGCGCACCTTCAAGAGCCGCACACGTACGTGGGCCGGCCGCTTTAATTAAATTTCATAATTAGTCGCGGCGTGTACGACCGTTTACGAGGTTCGCCGCGCCTTAATCTCGCCACTCATCAGCCGTCATGCGGCTGCGATCATTGTGCCTCTGAATCAGCCCGACGTTACCCGATTGCGGGATTCCATCCAGTCGTTTCTTGCGTCCGAGCAAAATATCTCGTTCGCCGAGTAACTACCGGTTCGACGTGATTGATTAATCGATCGGTACAATAGAGACCCCGTTCCGTTAGAATACACGTTGAAACCTATCAAATATTTCTTACGAGACCGAGGTGTATTTACTAGCTGCGACGCGGTGTATTCGAGGTAGTCAAAACAATCTTAAGAATTGATCGAACAACGCGTGGAATGTTTAATAGGGATCGAGGAGTCGTTTGGGGAAACGCGAAACGTTACCCGGGGGAATTAGCATAACAGGATTCCTCGGTGCACGTAATGCGGCGACCCCGCGGATTTGCATGGTCCATTTAAATACAATTTCTTTTGCCCCGATCAAGAAATTACGTGAATACGTGAGCGGAACCACCCCTCGTCCGGGCGAGCCACCCGCCGCCCCATCGGTAGATGTGTTGCCGCGACGGCAACGTCGAGGCGGATTAAAGGGGCTCGCGTTAAAGCCGGTCTCTCTTCAAGAAAAACCTGACGATTCCCTCGACCGTTCCGCTTTACGTTCTTCTTTTTATCCTCCTGCCAACCGTCCCTTCCCCTCCCACTCTGTGCTCCGCGTCCTGCGTCCCATGCTAATTAATTCTGCTTGTATATTAATCGCGCTGCCTTTCACGAGTCGGTCGCTCGGTACACGGCGGACTCAGCCAGTCAACCTCGTTTCCTTTTCTGCTTCTGTTTTCGTAAGAGGGCCAATTTATGCGACGGAAAGAGTTGCTCGTTGTTAGAGCGGTCCTTTGTCACAGCAAGGAATTTTAATTAATGCCGGAATTACTGTTACCGCTGTTCATTTCCGAGAGATTGATTCGTTCTTATCGCCAGATCCAATTAAACAGTTTTTTGCTTAGGTACAATTCTTCAGTTTCACTCGGACAGATAAAATACGATGCTCAGCATTAGAATTCGGAGTGACAACATAGAATCATTATTAGTCAAACGATGTATTATAGTTATATTAGAA